GATTTGAATATAAAGAACATTGATAAGACTTTAAAAGAAAACTATATTACATTTTGGAAACAGAATGTCAATCAAGAAAACACAAAACTAAGAACATATGCAAAATTCAAAAACACTTATAATTTTGAGTCATACTTAAATTGTCTTCCGAAAAAACATCAAGTCTGCATGTCACGCTTCCGAACAAGTAACCATTGTTTGGCTATTGAAAAAGGAAGGCACACACAGCCAAAAACTCCCATTGAAAAAAGAATTTGTAATTTATGTTCCCAAAATAAAATAGAAGATGAAGTTCACTTCCTTTTAGAATGTGATCGGTACAAATATATTAGACATGAATTGCTCACAGAAATTACATTAACTAATGCAGGAGATAAATTGAGTAATTTTATATTTTTGATGAGCAACAAGGACTCCAAGGCAATTAAATGTATGGGGACCTATCTACTTAAAGCCATGGAATACAGAAAACTTTAACGTATCTATTTATATTGTATTGTAATTGTGTTGTGTACGTATATATTTATTGCTTTTTACCAAAAGAAATATTGTAATTTCTAAGGATGCAATAAAATTTGATTATTATTATTATTATTACTTTATGTATGACTTTAAATAGTGCAAAACTATATTAATTAATTGTTTATTCACATATTATTTGATACTTTATTAATTTACTTTAATATGTCCTATTACACAATCGCAAAGTATTATTACATAATATATAAATAGTTGCCAAATTATTTATTTTACATAGTGCACTGTCAAAACATTATGGAACTTGATGTTTACGGTAATTGTGTATTGATATATAAGGAAACACAGCAAAGTTGTCTTTATTCTGCTGTTTAGGTATTACCAGCAATTTTAAAGAGCAAATTTGGTAGCAACTGTTCAGGCAAGAATATTGTTCTTTAAATCTGATCCAAATGGATCAATTGTAGAGATTAAAATCTACACCAATAACGGCATGTGAGCTTGATATAGAGTGTAATGTTAGTGCTGATGCAGTGGATGACAGCAACGATGATAGTTATTTAGATAGCAATGCAATATATAATTATAAATTAACAACTGAAGTTAGTATGTCGGATATAGCTGATGGGAAGTATGACATCAACTTGAGAAGCACAACTGAATACTGCAAGGGGTAGAAACCTTCTGGATAGTGAACAATTCCAAATAGACATCTCTGCAATAGTCATCAATGAGTGTCACACCCTTGATTTGTGGTTAGTATAATTTTGTTATTCTTTATCTGATGATTATAATGTTTGGTGCTCTTAATGTAACTTTCATACAGTAAAACCTTGACAATTTGCAGAAGTATTGGTATTCATGTGCCATCTTTGAAATTTTCATGTTTTTTTTATTTTTATTTTGTTTAAATGAATTTTGATTGTGTTATACTTTTAAAGAATACTTACTACTGGGGGGGGGGATATTGTTGAAATATGCCCTCTTTCATGTCTGCCCATGAAGTGAATTTTTTGAGCTGCGTTTTTTTGTAAAAATCAGTCTCAAAATTACTGCATTCTCTTCTTTCTGCTAGATCAAAGCAATTTAGGAAAGGTTTTGGCAACATCCATACAATACACTTAAAAGTTTTCTTCCATCCATTCCTTTCATCTGCTTCAGTGGAACTTTCAAGTGAACAACTACAATTACTTCCAGAACAGCTGGAGTCGTACCAGCCTACAATAAGCAAAAAAAACCCTTCATTCGTGTTTCGCCATATTTGTTTACTTATGATTTTACCAACTTTTATGCAAGATTCCATCCACTGTAATCTGATTGTTATCTTTATTTTTGCCTTGTTCTTATTGAATTTGTATCTGGTAAGATTTGATTCTTGTGTATATTGAGTTTATTTGCCATTTTGTAAGTATTTTTGAAGATGTTTAAACTTTTGTAGACATTTTTGTATTTCGCGTATTGAGCAGACGACTGCATTTATGATCACAAATTTCAAACAAAGTTCAGTATTTTGTGCTTTATTGCTTACAAAAATTGAGTTGATTGCTCATGAAGTGACACCTTGTCATAGTGATCCTGTGCGTGATATTTTCATGACATTTTGCAAATTGTAAAGAAGTCTCTCTACTCATTTTATTTTATGCACTGATTATGTGTAAATGTCGTACCTATCTGCACTTAAGTTTGCAATTCACTGAGATTCATACAGTACTACTTTATTAGTAAACAGGTGTTAAGATCTGATATTTAGAGGCTATAAATCGTGAATTGTTTGGGTTGCTTGAGTGTATTTGACTGTTAACTCGAAATGTTTCAGTTATTCATAGAAATGTATTTTGTATCCCACGAATGATGTCATCATTGTAGGGCCAACTGATATTATTTATTTTTAAAGTGTTTTCTATACTTCTGTATGCAGGTTTCTGTAGTAAATCTTTGTCATATACACACTGAATTAGGAAATAATAGAACCCGGATATGTGTATCATGATTGAACTCTACATCATTGTCTAAGTGTCATATATCCCAGCGTTACACATGGCGTAGTCGGCAGGATTACCTCATCAACGCTCTCCATTGAAACCCTGACTGTTCCTGGATGCTTATCTGGATGAATTTCTGTAGACATTTATGCAATAATTAATATTTTTTAGTGGTGGTATTAGGCATTTTTGTAGCTCTAGTTGTATACATTTGTAGCCTTGTATATTTTTGTATGCTACTTTAGGTTGTATCTGTCTACTGTTTTGATATATATTGCCGCCTTAGTGTACCTTTCAGGTTCCACTGTCTGACACTGAATGAAATGCAATTGTCACTGAACAAGAATGACTATGGCTGTTCTAAAAGCAACAGTAGCTAGAAAAGAAGAGGATACTGAAGCAGCATTGGCCAACACTAGAGAAGCAGACAATGAGATAGAGATTGATATCAGAGCAGAGATTGTAGAAGGCTGAAACCCCTTCAGTCAGCCCACCTGGTCGTATGGTATATGTGTCTTCCAATAGAAAACTTAACAGATTCACCGGTAAGCTTAATGGAAATGGGTCTTATTTTGGAACTCCTGCCAGAATGGTATTCCCAGAATAGCGCCAGTTGTTAAAGAAATATAACATTTTTATTATCAACAAGGAGGAATGGACCAGTTACCGAGACAAACCCCTACTCCCCGAGAAACGCACCAGATACAAAACCACCCACTCACCGCGAAAGCCACTCACCACGAAGCTACTAGTAATTCAAAGTGACAATAAAATATGGAAAGTGCAGTTAGCTGATATCATTGCAGATGGTGACTTTTTTGCAAGAGACATAGTTTACCATACCAACTGTAAAACTACACTGTGGCGAAAGTTTGTGCAAGGCCCAGAAAGACACAGTGCTTCTGTGAAGAATATGGAAGACACTTTAAGATTAATAGCTGCTGAAATGGAATTTTATGATGAGCTTCAAGAGCGAATTGAATCGGGAGAGTACATTACTACAGTTAAGGCTGAAACACTATATAAAGGAATGATGCACGATCACGGGGTAGTTAACACATCAATTACACGCAGAGCTTTAATAGTGAAAGTTACAGAGAATGTAGCAGATGTTGTGATATCTCTATACAGAGGTAATTTACCTGGTGTTTTACATTCCAAGAAAAGTGGTCGTGAGGCAGTGGATATAGCCAGAGAAGAACACGATGTATTTGCTGATTTTACTGCGATCTTCAAGTATGGACAAA